GCGGACAGTCGGCAAAACTTGCAGGCTGAGAAGCACCGCAGAAACTCGGAGGCTGAGAAGCACCGCGGCCGCGCAGTCCTGCTACTGCTGGAACTAGGAGCCGCCTTCTGTGCTTTCCGGACTTTCTCTGCCAACTGCCGCTCTGCGAGGCTACGCCCGGCATGCTCATTCGGGTGGCGGCCGAGGTCTCGCACTTGCTGCATGAGCTCCTCGGTCTTGTCTCGCTTTTGCTGCATGAGCTCCTCGGTCTTCTGCTTCCGCTTGAGTTCCTCGGGCTCCGTCTGCTGATCAGCACAGCCCAGGGCCCGCAGTTCATGCAAAATGTTTTTGGGGATGCGGTCGCGATGGTCCGAGAAACGTTTGGCCAACTTGTTTTCGGCCCGTTCTTGTTCGGACGTACCTTTATTTCGCTTCGGTATCCGGCCGAACTGCTTCACGTGCTCGACGAGCGTTTGCTGAGGACCGCTCAATGCAGCACGCTGAGGAGCAGCGCTGTTCCCTGCCGCAGGCTGAGGAGCACCGCTGTTCAATGCAGCAGGGTCAGGAGCACCGCCGCCAGACCGAGAACTATCAGCATGTCCTGGCATTAAGGTGTGCAGTAGGCGCTGCGCAGTTCCTTTGAAAGGACATCTTCGAAAGCAGGGCTGTAGCCAAGAAGGCTACGGGGACGATGATAATGATGAAGATGATGAGTCTTGGAAGTCTGGGAAATGGAAGAACACGAAGTGGCGTACAGTTGGCTCCGGGCATTCAAAATGTGGCCCGGGAGTGGAGTTCTGGGAAGTCGAAGAGCACGAAGTGGCCTACAGTTGGCTCCGGGCATTCAAAATGTGGCCCGGGAATTGTGTTCTGGGACCTCCAAGAGCACGAAATGGCCTACAGTTGGCTCCCGGCATCCAAAATGTGGCCCGGGAATGGAGTTCTGGGAAGTCGAAGAGCACGAAGTGGCCTACAGTACAATTGGCTCCGGGCATCCAAAATGTGGCCCGGGAATGGAGTTCTGGGAAATCGAAGAGCACGAAGTGGCCTACAGTTGGTTCCGGGCATTCAAAATGTGGCCCGGGAGTGCAGTTCTGGGAGGTCGAAGAGCACGAAGTGTATGACTGCTTGCTTAAAACGAGCCCGGCCCTCGCCTGTCCGGCTCCCGCCCAGACCCCCCTGGGGCGTCATCAGATGCTCTCTTTTGACCCCATTAGAAACCGATCAGTCTTCGCTGTTAGGTAAAATGGCTCCCCAGATGCTCCAAAAGGCCTTAAGGACGCTCCAAGACGGCTCCAAGATGCCTCCTGGACTTCCCAGGAGGCCGCCAAGAGGCCAACATCCTTCAAAGAACTAAGGGAAATGAATTATGTTTGCCTTCTCGCCGCTGCGCTTCCGAAGGCCTTCCGAGGCCTCAAGACAGCTCCAAGAGGGCCGATGAGGGCCCCAAGACAGGCCCAAGAGAGCCCCAAGACGGCCCCAAGAGCGCTGCAAGAGCGCCCCAAGAGGCAATTGTTGGGGATCCCGAGGGGGGGTCGTGACTCGGAGCTCCCATCTTTTGTTGACCGAGCTCCTCCAAGATGGCCCCAAGAGCGCTTCCAAGGCTCCTAGGAGCGCCTCAAGAGGGCCCCCAAGAGGCGCTTGGGAGGCCCCAGGAGGCGCCCGAATTTAGAAAGAAAAGAACAATGCTTATGTGATTTAGAAGAAATTTCAACTAGAACCACGCGCGCGCTTCGCGCGTGCTTAGGTTCTCTTTTGGGGGCCTCTCTTGGGCCTCTTGGGGGCCTCTCGGGGGCCTCTTGGGGCGGAACACTCGACATGCCGGTTCGTATTTCCCCTCTTGGGTCCCTCTTGGGGTCGTCCTGAAGCCCTCTTGGGCCGTCTTGGGCCTCTCTCGGGCCGTTTGGGGGCTCTCTTGGGCCGGCTTGGGGGCCTCGTGAAGAAATCTCAATGCTTAACATCCCTCCAAGGGGCTCCCACGAGATCCCCGAGAGGCTCCCCGAAGGCACCCGAAGGCGCTCCGAGGGGCGCCTCCCGGGGTCGCGCCTGGGGCTGCGCAGGCGGCTCCCGGATCTCGGCCCGTCGGCCTCCCCAGCTCTTGACCCACTGCGTGCTCCTCCGCGTCCCTGCTCAAGGAAGGGGCCCTGGGACACACAAATCAATACACACAAATAACACAATTCCCCCTACATATTGTCCTACATGTTCTGGGTTTTTGTCTTCCCCCCCACTTCCCATAGTTTCCAACATCCTCTGGGGAATAGACGATGAACTGTGTGTGTGTGTGTGTGTGTGTGTGTGTGTGTGTGTGTGTGTGTGTGTGTGTGTGTGTGTGTGTGTGTGTGTGTGTGTGTGTGTGTGTGTGGGTGTGTGTGTGTGTGTGTGTGTGTGTGTGTGTGTGTGTGTGTGTGTGTTGTGTGTGTGTGTGTGTGTGTGTGTGTGTGTGTGTTGTGTGAGTGTGTGTGTGTGTGTGTTTATGTGTGTGTAGTGTGTGTTTGTTGTGTGTGTGTGTTTGTGTGTGGTGTGTGTGTGTGTGTGTGTGTGTGTGTGTGTGTGTGTGTGTGTGTGTGTGTGTGTGTGTGTGTGTGTGTGTGTGTGTGTGTGTGTGTGTGTGTGTGTGTGTGTGTGTGTGTGTGTGTGTGTGTGTGTGTGTTTTCCCCTCCTGACTCAAGGCAGCTCGCCTGGGCATCGTTTCTGGATGGGCTGGTGGGGATACGCGACGCGCGTCAACAGTGCTTCCTCTGGAGGCGGCTCCCACCGCTGGAAGCAGGCGCCGAAAACAGCCAAGATCCACTCTGTGGGGGGGGGAGGGGGGGGGCGAGAGCCCGCGCCGATCGGCAAAACAATGAATAAGAAAACGATCACCTTGCTGACCTCCCGCCACGAGCCCCGCCTCCTACAACTCGCCCTCCCTCCTCGCCCTTGACGGGTGGAAGTGCATCGAGGATCAGCACTTCCTCCCAGAAAGTGCAGTCCTCCTCTGCGCCCCGACGCTCCTCCCATCCTTCCTAAGGACCTCGCAGCGCTCTCTGGACAACGGAATGCGGCACCAGCGCAGGCACGCCCTGCCTGGCCCGTTGGGCTCGCGATTGTGTTGCCCAGGGGAGGCTGCGCAGGCTAGCAGAGTCCAGCTTGGTGCTCTTCAGCTGGAAGACGGGATCGCCACCGCCCCCCGCGGCCAGCGCCCCGGGCGCGCTGCACGCCAGCGCCGCGCCCGCCAGCACTGCCGCCCTGCCGCGGGGCCCCCGGCGCGGACGCCGCATCGGCGCGGCCAGTGCCGCGGCGACGGGGGGAGCGGCGAAGGACGCAGGAGCTGGGAGGCAGCTGCTGGGAGGTCCGCGTCGGAAGGATGCGGGGAGGCTGTCGCCGATCGTTTCAGCATCCACTCCGAGGAGGAGGAGGAGGAGGAGGAGGAGGAGGAGGAGGAGGAGGAGGAGAGGGTCACCATCATTACCCAATGGGGTGGGGTGGGGTGGGGTGGGGCTCTGGGTAACGGTAACGCTTGGGCGGGGTGGGGCACGTCGGGGAGGGGTTGGCAGCGATCACCATAACATGCGCGCGAGCAACATCATCTGGGGGGGAGGGGGGCCCAGCCCCACCTCTTGCGGTACGATCGTTGCCGTTACCCATGCGGGGGGCGAGGGGAGACGGTTGGCCCGGGCAACGGCGGTTACAGTCGGCCCGTATCACAAGGATGCGCGATGAGGATGCAAGGGCCTTGGACGCCTACTTCGAAGCTTTTCGAGCGGGGCGCGGCCAACGAAAGTGGTCAAGGATGGACCGAGGAGGCAAGGATGCAAGGGTACCCTTGGGAAGGTTGCCCATCCTTACTATGCGGGTTAACTATACGCGCCAGAGGGTAAAAAACGATCACAGGAGAGCTGTGAATGACAACAGGCGATGAAGCAACTGCTGGGGTGTCTTCGCAAGAACGAGTCAGTAATGTCAAGCCCGATGAGAAGGGCCATTGGGCCAAATTTGGCCGGATCGAGTCCAGACTTGAGCTGGATTGCGGGGGATTAAAAGAAGGATCGAATGGGGGCGTGCTGGATTACGCTGGTCTCCGACACCAGATATGGCAGCGCCGATGCTGCACCTAGCCTCCCAAGAGTTGCATAAAAGAAGGATCGAATGGGGGCGTGCTGGATTACGCTGGTCTCCGACACCAGATATGGCAGCGCCGATGCTGCACCTAGCCTCCCAAGAGTTGCATGATAATTATCCCGGCAAAGCAACCTAACAGCGATATGTAGAAGCATATCTGAAAGCATTCCCGTTAAGATTCAGATGAAAATGCAGTTGTAGAATTCTGCTGTTCTCGCAGTCGTAGTCGCATTCGCGATGACAGTCGCAGCGGCAACGGCAGTCGCAGTCACAGCCTCAGCCTCAGCCTGCCTCAGCCTCAGCCTCAGCCTGCCTCAGCCTCAGCATGCCTCAGCCTCAGCCTCAGCCTGCTTCAGCCTCAGCCTCAGTCTGCCTTCAGCCTCGGCGTCAGCCTCAGGCTGCCTCAGCCTCAGCCTGCATCAGCCTCAGACTCAGCCTCAGCCTGCCTCAGCATCAGCCTGCCTCAGCCTCAGCCTCAGCCTGCCTCAGCCTCAGCCTCAGTCAGCTTCAGCCTCAGCCTCAGTCTGCCTTCAGCCTCGGCCTCAGCCTCAGCCTGCCTCAGCCTCAGCCTGCCTCGGCCGCAGCATCAGCCTGCCTCAGCATTCAAAATGTGGCCCAGGAATGGAGTTCTGGGAAGTAGAAGAACACGAAGTGGCCTACAGTTGGCTCCGGGCATTCAAAATCATGCCCAGGAATGGAGTTCTGGGAACTTGAAGAGCACGAAGTGGCCTACAGTTGGCTCCGGGCATCCAAAATGTGGCCGGGAATGGAGTTCTGGGAAATCGAAGAGCACGAAGTGGCCTACAGTTGGCTCCGGGCATCCAAAATGTTGCCCGGGAATGGAGTTCTGGGAAATAGAAGAGCACGAAGTGGGCTACAGTTGGCTCCGGGCATCCAAAATGTGGCCCGGGAATGGA